CCTGCTTAATTCAAAGCACACAAATGATAATCTCATCAATTCTGTATGGCCCAGCATTATGAAGATCAATAGTCCGATCCTGCTGGGCTGCTGAGAGTCTTAAAGAGCTCCACATAGCTAGGTCTGAAGTTCTCCCATCTTTTTGTATTGTTCCAATGTCATGCAATCCTCTGTGAGCATATGTACACCTTCTTAAATCTGAATTGATGAGAGTTATTCAAACTTTAGAGGATAAAATGCCATGGTTTTCTAAAAGCATTTTTCTATTTCCTGAGAAACATGTCCTTTCTTATTTGTAGGTTTGCTGCTATATTATAAAAGATTATAACTGATGGGACTTCAACCTCTGAATAACTGGGTAGGTTACTGTAACTATAGACATCTACTCCCTCTCTCTGGCAAAAAAACCAGATCAGTACTGACTGAAGCTAGGAGAGTGAGGTTATCACTCCGCCTCCTCCAACGTTTCCAACATTTTCAGATTTTTTTCTAACAAAAGGAAAAAAGTAGAGCTCATTTTCATTTCATTCTGAAGTGGCATTACAGCATTATTTGTTAAAAATTATGTAACTAGGGACCAGCAGATGGTGTAATGGTTATGTAGCTGAACTCCCATGTAGTTGACCATGGTTCCAGTCCCAGACCTGGCGGCTTAAAACTCACTCTGGGCACGTGTGTGTGCATGCCCAAACTCCCAAGAGGAGTATGGAGAAGGGACTGTGGCATGGCCATCTCCTGGGTGATTTCTTGCTTTCTGTCCTCTCTTTCTGGTTAGCGCATGTGCCCTATGGCAAAAATCTCTTTAAAAAAAAATTATGTAACTAGAGTAAGGAATATAGTAAGCTCTATTTTTATATTTGCTTCATTAAAACATTATTGTTTGAGAGATAATAGAATGCAGGCAGAAAGGTTCTTTACAGCCAAAAAAATTTTAAAAACTCTGATAGAAAACAATATACATTTAGAAATTTCTGGGATAATTTGAGAGATAAGCTGATATTTCGCATAATGATTAGCAATAGGCCTACACGCATTAGAACACCATTGCCCACCCTTATGAGTCTAATTTAATAGAGTGTGAAAATGGTATTTCACAGCCATCAAATAGAAATTGGGTAGTAAAAAAGCCACTCATTAATTGCCAGATTCTCCTGTGGCCCTGGGTTGGTTCTGAGTCCGCTCCCGAAGGAGACGTGTCTCGGTTGTGCTACAAAGTTCACTCAGGGCCCTTCCTTCTCTAGTCACTGTTTTCTGTAATGATGTTCTCCTGACAGGCCTATGTTAAGTCTAATGCTATATAAAATTATGCTACATTTTTGGTCACTGAAACATTAGATATCCTTTTATCATATCTATCTGAAATACATTATTAAAAATGCAACTACTCCCTGATTTAAAATCCATTTGGTCCATATAGTTCTCAAATTCTTGCCCTTCTTTTCTAGGTAATGGTCTGACAGGCTGTACTGTGAGAGCCCTTCAGGCCTGGGGCAAAGGGCTCAGTTTGCATGTGGAATCCATTGGCGGTACAGGAGCGTTCACTGGCCTGTGAGCGACAAAGCAGTGGAAGCAATCTTCTGGGGCATAATACTGGAACGTCAGTTAGATGCTGATGTGCATCTCCTGACCACAAAACGGTAACAAAGGGTAACTGGGAACGCCGTTTATCTGTTCCCTTCCCTGCCCATGCCGTTGCAAGCTTATTAATTCACTTGCACAGGACTTCCATTTTTCAACTCCTGCTCAGTCATTTCCATGTATTTTTCTCAGGACTAATGAGATATTAAATAAAGATGGCAAACCAAAAAGGAGGCCAGCAACATTGAGATCTGACAGGCTCCAGTGAAAGCAGAGGGGCCTGTTCTGGCCACACGGATCAATAGTGTCAGCTTGTAATCTGTGTGATCTTATTCAAAACAGACAATAAACCATTCTCTGAGGATAAATAAAGCCCACCAGAAGACGTTGTAACCAGGCCTTGCTCCCCATGTGCGCCTGAAGAGCACCGGCACGTGAGCTTTCAGCTTATGGTACAGGTTTTCTCTCTTTCAATAGGGAGTCTTTAAATATTAAATTGTCAGCGGTAGTATGACTAGTTTGAGGCGGTCTTTCTTTTCTTTTCATTTTTTTTTCTAAAGTAATTTCATCCTTTAGCAATTTCCCAAGTTAATTTAAATATGAAAATAGAAGGCTTATCTAGAGGATGAAATATGAAAAGCTTTATAATGTATTTCAAAACACTGATGTGCCTCTCTATTCAGTTCTTGGGGAGGAAATTCAGGATCCAACAGTATCAACTGTTGTCATGGAAACACCTCTGGTAGGCAGCTTCTTATTGTTACTGTGGTCATCCAGCTGCGGGCACCAAGGGAGGGGCTGCACTTTTATTTTACAAAAATGTCCACTTTCTCCTTTAGGAGAACATCCAGGGAAAGATTAATATTTAAGTACAGAAAATAGTTTACCCCCAGAAAATGTGACAGCCACCAGAGCCAGGTCTTCTTCTGCATACTGGATCTTTTCTGCCACGACTTTCAAGATCTCCTGGGTTGTACTGGAAACTTTTGCCTTCACACTGACGTAGGAGTGCTCTGTTATGTACACGTGGCAAAAAACTGTACAAATCAAAACAATTGGTCATAAACAGAGAACTGTGGGCACAAGGTATAGACTTTTCCAAGTCCAGGCACCCATCTTGCTGTCTTTGTCAGTGTAAAGAACAACAGCCAGATGTATGTATGTATTCATGCACGTGAGTGCCTGAGGGTGCACAACTGTAAATGCATGCTTGCAATCACATGAGACAGATGTTATGGAGCTGAGAACAAGCAGGTGTGGCACTGAGGCTTCCCATACTGTAAGGAGAGATCTGAGTCATGCAAGCCTGTGTCAGCAGTAGATACATCTGAACAGAATACAGGGACTCGTGGTTTAAGGACTGGACTTCTGAATCTCTTCTTTGATGGTTGCTGAGATCTCCCAAAGCAGCATATTTAAATGTCTAACTTGGAGCCAGTACGTAGTGTGATGATTAAGGTGCTGGACTCCCATGTGGCGAACCACAGTACAAGTCCCAGACCTCACGACTTGAAAATCACGCCAGGCATGTGTCCATGCATGCCCCAAATCCCAGGAGGAAAATGGAGAGGGGACTGTGGTGTGACCATCTTCCCTCAAAGGTGATTCCTTACTTTCTGGTGAGCGTACATGCCCTAAAGTTTAAGGCAAAAACCTAAAAAAAAAAAAAAAGTCTAACTCATGGGACCAGCAGGTGGTGTAGTGATTAAGGTGCTGGACTCTCATATGGCCAACAGTGGTTCAAGTCCCAGACTTGGCAGCTTGAAAAACATGCTGGGCACATGTGCATATGTGCCAAGAATCATGAGAGGAGAATGGAGGAGAGGGGACTACCGTGTGGCCATCCTCTTGGGGAATGATTTCTCACTTTCTCCCTCCCCATATCTCTCTCTCTAGCAAGTGCATGCACCCTATGGGAAAAAAAAAATCCTAACCCATATGTTTTTATTTGATACTTCATTTCAGGACGGTTTCAGAGGCCCAATCAAGATGACCACATTTTGCCATTAGAATCCTTATAAACTTATCTAAAAATCTGTCACCTGCCTCGGTTTTTGTGCTCAGCTATCTCAGTTACTTAAGAATGACCCCCTGATCAAGTGATCAAGGTGGTGGTGAGTTCAGTTTCCAAATGAAGGTCACATTTGCAGCCTTTTTAATTTCCTTTTTATGGTCTGCAGGGCTAATAAATATTACTAGCACATTATCACTATCGGGTTGAATGGGTCCTGGGAAAATTTTTCTTCATGATTCGAATAGCAGAACCTGTTTTAATAGCAATAAAAATAATTGAGAGATTTCTTCTATCAGCTACTCTGAAACTATAAAACATTAGCTTCTTTAGAATAGACAGAGGACAAGGCTATGCTCAGTCTGCTCTTCTATATTGTTTAAAAATAAAAAATGGGAGTACTGCTTCTAAAGAAATTTCATGTGCAACTTAAATGAGAGCTCAAAAGTAAACCTGGGAATGTATTCACAGAAATGTGAATGAAGCCAAAACCTAACTACGAGTTTCCATGTGTAGAACTTCCGTCAGGAGTCACTTGCGTGTTTGGCTTGGGTTAGTGTGCTACTACAATATAGCATCTAACAAATAATTGTTTATATTTGGTTGACAGACTTAAGAGAGAAATAAAGACTTTCCTCTTTTCATAGAAAAATGGAAGTTTTGGGCTATGTGAAGATCTGGTCTGTAAGCCACTAAATGTAGGGTGAGTTTACAGCTTAATAAACCGATGAATAGAAAGAACCCTTGGGCCTTGAAATCTTAGCCTTTTTGAAGTTCAGTTTGGAAAACTGTACTTATTAAATTATAAGACAAATGGACAAAGAAGGTCAGTAGCCAACAAATTAAGAGGTAAAATGAATTCATTTGTACTTTCACTCAGTGTAAATGACAGTTCATACAACAGAAACTCATCTTTTCATGGCAATACATAGAGACACCGTGTAAGAAAAGAAACATCCTTATGATGTTTTGTTTTTTGAATATTCAAGAAATTGAGAAATATTAAATATTCACACCTAGAACTCCAGCCCATGGAGAAAGGCAAGTTAGAGTCTCGAAGTCACTATCACTTCAATATTTTAGTTTGCTGGGTTTCTGCACCTGACTCAATCCCAGCCAAACAAGGTGAAATCACAGCCACCATTTCTTGTGCTGGTATAAAATATAAATGTGGAGCAGCATGTCAGCCCCTTCAGGGTGCTAACAAGGTGTTTTCCCTGATGTTGAACACACAATCCCCCTGGGGGGAACTGCACGCCCCTTCAGCACTAATGACAACTACTGAGAACATACCGGTGCGTGGCACTGCCCAACACAACCTTGCTTGGACAGATTTTTACCGCACATCCTTTCTTTCATTATTCTCTCTGAGATTCTTTTCTCTAACTCTCAGGGACTGACTTAGCCAAAACCCTGCAGATTGGCTTTCGTGATCTTCCCAATTAGTAATAGGCAATGGGTTGAGGCAGGGAGAAAAAAGTGGAGTTGCCAGACCTTTGTGCACCTCTGCTAAAGAATGCAAGAAGGTTCTTTATAGTCTCCTTTTTTTGATTCCCAGATGAAAATATCCTGGATCATTGGAATAGTGTTATATGATCTAAGTAAACTGTAATGTACAAATCAAGGGAAAAAAACACCCAATTTGATGCTAACGGCTTGTCAGAGAGGTATGACAGCTGGAAATGATGGTTAAAGGCAGGCTGATGTGTTAATGTGGGAGAATGGCGGTGATTAACTGCAACTCCACCTACCCCAAACCCTTATTTAAATTGCACTCACTTTCCTCTGTTTCTGTCATGGCTCCTCTGTGCTGTAGCCAGTTCTCCTTAAGACTGAATTGGTGGAAAAGGGCTTTATTCTGTGAGAAGGGAGAAAGAGAACAATGAATGAATGTACTCCTGCCCTTTGGAAAACCACAGCTGTTTACAACGTGTTCCAAAAGAGCTAGCCAATTTTTTTTGTTTGGATTTAATATAAAATCCACCCATCCAATCTTAGAGAAATAAGCTGGGAATTGCTTCAATTTATGCATGTGGAGGTGGAGATTCTGAGCAACATGATGAGCCTTTGGCCAAGGCCAGAGGCAGGCAACCCCCTCCACACCCCAAACTTCCCAGTAATCACTCTCTGCAACATGCTAGAGAATACCCCCAAGATTTTTCATCCCTGAGATTAAAAACACCCATAACATACTTCTCTTGAGAAAGGCACTGTTTCCCCATGCCAACATTAACCTCCAAGCTAGTGAGCACAGTCTGACAGGTTGCTTTCTACGCTTTTCACGGCAACAACTTTAAGATGGTTTCTGTAGTATGATTTTCTTAAGGGAAATAAGTCCATGGTTCCTTATGATTTCCCCCAATAAACCAGCTTCACTAAAACTTGTGCCTGACACCTCGTTCTGCATTTCCTCCCCAACCAAGATAAACCAGATAGCGGGTATGCTGGTTACCACCCCTCTTCCTGTCGTGATGAGAATATAGGCCTTTTCTCCTGGAACCAAGACTTTACTCCTGGAATCAAGATTCTTACCTGGATTATTATTATTATTTTGGAATAAACATTTTAAAAATCAAATTTATATCACTCTGAGGGCAGCAGGAAGCTCTGACTACAAAAAAAATATGCAGAACGTCATAAAGTCACAGTACCCGGCTGAAAGTGGACCTGTACCAGCACAGGGAAACTAAGGGACACAGGAAAGTGCCGGCGGCCTGCAGTCCCAGGCTCCCACCTGGCCTGGGAGGCTTGAGGTGGTATTCTTTATAATTCTAAAGAAAGGCCAGTGAGGCAAGGCAAGTTCTCCCAACCTCATCAATCCTCTTCAGAACAGATGGGTCTGCCTTACCTTCCTTTGTGGCGAATATTCATCTACAGTGCTGAAAGGAAAAGGATGAGAAGTCAGTTTGCTCCAAAACCGAGAATAATGCAGTTATTATTGTGGAAGACTAATTTTCAGGCGCTGAGCAGAATATTTTGCTCTTCAAATAAAACACAATAGCCATTAACTTACTATATATACTACCGCAGTTGAAATGAAGTTCTGAATTTCAAATACACCAAGAAGTAAAGTAGCTATTCTGCATTCTACCCATAGAAAGTGAAGCTGAGAACTGAGGAAGGAACTGGATTTATTCAACACATGGAAACAGAGACTGAAGAAATTTTTTTTTTTTTTTTTAGGTTTTTGCCATAGGACATGTATGCTTGCTGGAAAGAGATAAAGAAAGATGGTGAGAAGGAAAGTGAGAAATCACCTCCTGGGGGGATGGCCTCACTGCAAACCCTTCTCTTTTTTTCTGCTGGGATTTTAGGCACAAGTGCACACATGCCTGGTGTGAGAATCCCTTCCTTCCTTCCTTCCTTCCTTCCTTCCTTCATTTTTTTTAGAGATTTTTTGCTATAGGGTGTGTGCACTCATCAGAGAGACAGAAAGAGACAGAGAGACAGGTCGTAAGAAATCACCCCCCTGATGGGATGGCCATGCTGCAATCCCTTCTCCTCCATTCTCCTCTTGGGGTTTTGGGCATGCATGCACACGCAGCCAGCGTGAGTTTTAAGCTCCAAGGTCCAGGACTTGAACTGTGGTTGACTACATGGGAGTGCAGTAACGTAACCAATACATCATCTGATGATACCCTGGTGTAATTTTTAATCCACCGGGTTGGGACTCGAAATGGAGTTGACATGTGGGAGTCTAGTGCCTTAACCACTATGTCATCTGTTGGCCCCAGAAAATTTTTTGGGGGGAGGGGTTGACAATATTCACATGTAGTGATAGATTTTAGTAAAATTATTGTTATTTATGTAGCTAATTCAGTCAAGGTGCTTCTTTTCCAGGAATTTCTCTAGTGCGAAACATTCTGTAGATGTCCATCTCTGATCATGCTCCACAGATTCCCATTCCCACGGTCACCTCTGCCCATGAAGAAACTGGTACTGGAATTGATTTCACACATCATTAGATAAGCCCTAAATTAAATGAATCACTAATTTTATTGGAAAAAAAACTGCTTGTACAATGGGGCTAGACAAAATGTGATAACCTCAACAGTAGGAATTAAATCTTATTCTAGCATCTAAAGGTATATCATAATCTTATACCAAAAAGGCAAAAATCATACCTTAGTTCTTATTTTAACTATTATTTCCCACTTTATGTTTTTTTGTTTTAAATGTTTTTGTCATAGGGTGTGTGCACTTGCCGAAGAGAGACAAATGGTGAGAGGAAGTGAGAACTCACCCCCAGAGGGAATGGCCACACTACAATCCCTTCTCCTCTTGGAATTTTGGGCATGCACACACACATTTGGCATGAATTTCAAGCTGCTGGGTCCGGGACTTTTCTTGCGATTGATCATGTGGGAGTCCAGTGCCTTAACCTCCACACCACCTGACCCTTATGTAAGCTTTTTAATAAAATGTATTAAATTCCATTAATTTACTTAATGTTTTAAAAGTTACTAGCCATAAACTAAAGTTGCTCAACTGTATCAGATCTGACTTACAGCACAGATCAACTTTCATGTGGGAGATTATTTCGATGTAAAGGTTGTCTTTTTGTTCTTATTTGTTTCATTTGTTAGTCCACATTATCACAGTGCTAGGCTATGGAAAGTTAATATGATATAGACTATGATTAAAGAAGACCACCAAGATTCACAACATTCATTTCTAATGCACTATACCAACTTACATTTCATTTCTGAATTTCTCAGTGTGTGATTTTAATGACTGAAGGTTAAAACCTTACACATGGTTTGCTCCCTCAAATAAATGTATATAGACATTTCACTTACAATGGGGGCGGGGGTCTTCCTTTACTAAAATCAAGTCAGGCATTAAGTCTCTAATTAGTAATCTAAAAGACTTGAATTAACATTTTCCAATGGGAAGTACAACTGTCACTGAAGTCTTAACAGAAGCTTTTCACAAGTTGACAATCTATGTGCTTCATGTTTACTGAGTGTAACTAAAATGTAAACCAGAGAACATTTTCTTTCTCCACAAATGAATTGTGCAGCTATCCTTGGAAGATGAATAATGATTTGATGCTTTCACTTACCAAAATTAATAAGATTATTTAGTGGTAATAACACAGTAACATCAGGTATTACCGATTTGAAAGATTAATGATAGATGCCTAGGGAATGCTTGGACATACCAAGAGTCATTGAGTAAATGGTTTTCTTTAATCTTTCTAAATTAATAAAGAAACCTCAGGGAACCTATAAAATTGAGCTTTTAAAGTGCTCCATGGGGTCGGCAGTAGTGTGGTGGTTAAGGGCACTGGATTCCCACATGGCTGACCATGTTTCGAGTCCTGGAGCTAGCAGCTTGCTTTCTCGCTTTCTCTTTCTCTCTCTGTCTCTGGTCAAATTAAAACATAGTGATAGCAAATGGAATGAAATAAAAGTAAATAATTCTTCAAAAAAAAAAAAAAGAAAAGAAAAACTCCATTATTTACTGGAACCCATCATTTATAAAACTGATATATTTTTTCTACTCCACAGAGATAAATATGAACTCCCAAATGACAAGTTAAATATTTAGACTTTTAAAATGAAATAATAATTTATTAAATAATTGCTTTTGTGCACCCAGTTTGTTATGGCCCAGCTTATTTTTTTGTTGTCAAACAGGGTTAAAAAATGTCAACGAGCTTGATTTAGTGTTTTTTCATTTGAAAACACAAGAATCAGATATACAATTTTTTACTGAAGGAAAAAAAAAGCTATGGAATCAAGATGAATACTAGAGTCAAAATACTCAGAAATAATCTTATGTATAAGATATTTAAAAAGATTTGTTGCTTTTTTTCTTTTCTTTTCTTCATTTATTTATTTTTTTTGTTGTTGCTATATCGTGTATGTGTTCACCAGAGATAAAGTAAGAAATCATTCCTGAGGGGGATAGCCACACAGCAATCCCATCTCCATTCTCTTCTCAGGATTTTGGGTACACACACACCTGGTGTGATTTTCAAGTCATTTGGTCCAGGCCTCAAACCGCAGTTGGCCATGTAGGAGTCCAGTGCCTTAACTACTATACCTTCTGCTGGCCCCATGTTGTTTTCTTTCATTAACTCCAATAAAGAACATGAAATACTTACTGTCGACGGTGCATTCCAAGTATTTTTTGAAATTCTTTCAATTCTTTTTCAAGTATTGGATATTCATAGACATCATCTAGTACATTTCTGTATATGGTCTGGGGAGAAAAGACAAAATGGCAGCTAAAATGGTTTAATGTCCACTTTATGAGGCTTAAGGCTCATACACTGGCTCTTCTGTCCAAGGAAATAAGGTCCAATCGAGGACAATGTAGGGGTTTAACCAGGCACCAAAGAAATTTAGAATGGGATTATATCTCTTAACCCTTAGGTACTTCACTAAACTGCCATGGCTCTCTCACTGCTTCCAGAGGCTACAAGTGAGGATTCTGGGAATTTAGAGATCCCTGGCTCAAGATTTACCTGCCTGCTCTGTATTAAAACAAACAAGCAAACAAACACGATAATGTCTAAATAATAATTTTGCAGGAAAAACCACAACTGAATTAAACTTACCAGTTGTCTTGAAAGAAACATGAATTTAGTCAGAAGGGTAAGGCCAGTTTTAACTAGATGTCTAAATGACACATGACTGTTGAATTCAAAGTGGCTTCCTTCATACCAGGGAGAATCAGCTTAGGTATTTGCCTAATCTGAACTAGAACTCCTCCTAGCTGAATTCCATTCTACCCCTTCTCTGTTGACTGGCACAACTAATATGGTTTTGATAGCCAAAGAAATCCAATCATCTACTAGTTAGTAGGTTCATAAAATCTACTAATTCTTCACAAAATCATCTGTGTTGAAAAGGCACTGCAGCTTATTAATAACCAGGGGAAAAAACAGTTTGTCTAGTTCCAAATGTAAATCTAAGTACCTATTCTACAAATTATTACTTAAAATTCTCAAAATACACCAACTTCTACAAATATTTCACAATGCATATATTGTCAGTATAGTTTTTAAATGATAAATGATATTTTATTCAAATACCATATGTATGAAACTGGCTAGTTCAAACATAATAACTTTCAACATATTAGTATCAAATTTTGAAATATAATTTCATCTACCTTCCTTAATTACTTCATTTGCAATCAAAATTCCCATGACTTACATAAACTACAGCATCTTAAATGAATGAAAAAAGTCCTTCTACTTTTTTTTATAAAGATTTAAAATTTAAAAAAATTAAGTTTCTCCTTATGTAGGGACTATCAAGCCTCATAAGTCAAAATGAGTTTATATTGCCTCTGAATCACAAGTCGACTATCACAAAAAAGTTGAATGACAGATACGTACCAATGAAATTTTTGAAAAGTATAAGTGAAAATAATATTAGTAATTTGGCATCCAAGTATATCTGTGTTAGATTACCTTTAAAAACATTTTCGAGTGCTCATCTTCATGTAACCAGTCTTTGTATAGAGTGATCCATTGGGAAACAAGATGCAAGACTTTGCGTTTCCGACAGGGAATATCTGAGTTTTCTTCTTTGCCTTGATACTTCTTAGCAGAATAGGTGCACGTGGTTAAGAAAGAACATTACATTGATGGAAATAACAAAGTATGAAGAGATATATTTATTCTCAATTTTACAAAATATGCTAAAACACATTTTCTTTTTCTTTTTTTTTAAAAGGTTTTTGCCAAAAGGCACATGTGCTCACCAAAGAGAGCTGGTGAGAGAGAAAGTAAGAAATCATCCCCCAGCAGGGTGGCCACAGTGCAATCACTTCTATAAATTTGGGCATGCATTCATATTCATACACACACACACACACACACACACACACACACACATACCTGGCTTGATTTTCAAGTCACCAGGTCCAGGACTTGAGCCTCAGTTGACCATGTGGGAATCCAGCACCTTAACCACCACAACACCTGCTGGCCTAAAGCATATTTTCAAAGAAACTACATGTATATAACGTGCAGGAAGAAGAGAATATGTATAGAGAGTGCAAAAGGTGTGCACTGAAAAGAGCAAAAACAAACCCAGAAAATGATCAGCATATACTCAGTGCCTGGCTAGGAAGTTAGGCGTTGGGTCATGGATGGCAGCTGCGGTCAGTCCAAAAGCAAACTGGGTTCATTGACATATACTGGGGGCGGGGGAGCATTAATTTCAAGAGTAGCTCAAAGAGAGTTAGCGCACTACGCAGGTGAATACTATTTCAATCAAAGTTAAATCAGAACTAGGCCACATAGCCTTTGAGCCTCAGAAATTCACATTCTGTAAAACCAGGTATTTTGAAGGTAATTCCAAATGAACAAAGATTTCTAAAGCACAATTTGTAGTATAAATTGAATGCCCAACCCTATCAACTTACTTAAAAACATAAATGAATAGGGGCCAGCAGATGGCATAGTGGATTTTTGCTACTCCATGTAGGAGTCCATACATTGTTGGACTCCTACATGGCTGACCACAGTTTGAGTCCTGGATTCAGTGGCTTAAAATTCATGCTGGGCACATGTGTGTGTGTGTGTGTGCCCACGATCCTGGGAGGTGAATGGAGGAGAAGGGATGGCAGCATGGCCGTCCTCCTAGGAGGTGACTTTTTACTTTTCCTCTCACAATCTCTGTTTCTCTCTCTCTCTGGTGGGTGTACACAACCTAAGGAAAAGTCCTCTAAAAAAATATGAATAAATGTGCACATGTGGAAGTAAAAAGGACTGCTAATTTTCATTTTCATTAACATAAAATTTAAAAATTAAGTTGGAAATTACCTAAACACTTTCACAATTGAGGATGTGTTAACTAAATTATTACATGTCTTTTAACAGACTATTCTACAGCCATAAAAGTGATGATCCAATAGTACATTTACTGGCATGGAGCATTCACAATATATTATGGAGTAGAAAAAAAGATGTTAGGGTGACCCACTGCTATTAACAATGCTTATTTACATAAAGAATTTCATTATTTAGAAGGATATATACTTTAGGGTTAACAATGGCGTCTCAGGGTAATGAGATTTCAGAATTCATGAATATTTTTATGTTACTTATTAGCATTTCCTAGTTTGTATACCATGGACATGTGTTAACTATGCTGTTAAAATGATATAAAAATAACAACCTCAAAAGCAAAGTGCTTAAATGACTAGGAATGAGACAGCAGCTTGGCATTTTCTAAACTGATTTACTCTTTTTGTCTCCAAAATGATAATTTTAGAGTGTCGTAGACACATGGAAAACAACTAGGAATGGGAAATACTACGAGATCAAACACAGGTAGGCTCTGGGATTGTTGGACAGGATTATGTAGTCTTTAATGTTGATCTGTAATTGTAAAATAGGAATAAATTCTACTTCAGGCTCAGTAAATATTTTTAAACATAATTCAATTACTCTCTTTCCATCTTGCAAAAATACATTAAGGACATCTTTGATTTACACCTGTGAAATAAACTTGGGCAAACACACAAAAGTCTGTTAAAGTTTCTTCAAGTTTTCCTCTTAAAAGGCAAGATAAAAATACATATTATTTCTACTTATGCAAATGTTCTTTTCTTTTTTCCTATGAATATAATGGCTTCACTAATACACAGGGACAAAAACTTGTAAAAGTTAAGAAATACTGGCCAACCATGATTCGAATCTAGACCTGGAGGCTTTCTCTCCTACTTTCCCTTTCTCTCTGTCTTTCTCTCTCTGGTCAAATTAAACAAATAATAATGATAATAATAAATAAAATAATTCTTAAAAAAAAGTTAAGAAACACTAACAAGTTCTTTTAGATCTGCACACAGACGTGAAGACAGGGGGCTTTTATTCAAGCTGCATTTATATGTTCTACGATTATGGACCACCAGAACAGGGCGATGTCAGGGACTGACCCTTCAATCATTCTCTTCCATACATAGTTATTAACATTTATTTGCTTAACCTTGTTCTCCTCCCTGTATGACATATATATTTAAAATATTCAGTAAATAAATGTATTAGGTCGTTGGGATAGTCATGATGTACTTTTCTGTTTATCTATGCAAAGATGTGTCATGACCTTCCTGATGACCCAATATCTGTATTATTCTGGCTTTCTATTTTAAGGGATAAATATGCTTTTACATTTTGTCCATATCAGATTATACTGATTTATAAATTTAGCTAAGGGGAGGGGGGTGAGGAATAGTGGGAAGAAATTGGGTGAGAGTTATAACCTCTGTGTAATGCACTGAATAGTAGCTAGCTCAGGGCTATGAACTTAAATAATGCTCTTTACAATGATAAAAGCTAAAAGCTATTAAATCCTATTAAAACAGAAATACACATCTAAAATATCTAAATCCAGCACAAATAGCTCTTATCTATACATAATGTTCAAAACCAAGGTGGAAAATTTTTTACCTCTCCAGAAGTTGATAGTAGTGGGATATAAAAGATAAAATACAGATATATGTATATGCACATATATTTATATATGTATATATAAATATCTCACAGTATGAGTGCCATATTTTTGTTTATGGTTCATATTATAAAAGGTTGCTACAGTTAAATATGTTTCCCCAAAACTCAAGTGATGAAATTTGGTCGTGACACAATTAAGAGGGTGAAAACATAATCTGACTATAATCCGGGATTAAGAGGCGGAGACTGTGGGAGGTGATTAGGATTAAGGTCATCAGGGTAGGGCCCACACGATTGAGTCCTAACGGGTTTATAGATGGGAAGAGACAGAAACACACAGACACATGCTCACTGTCCCCTCATGTGACGCTCTGTGTTGCCTGGGGACTCTGCAGAGAGCTCCCCCCTCAGCAAAGGGCCCTCACCAGATATAGCCCTGAATGGATCATAAACCTCCAAACTAAGAGCAGAGTAAACCTCTGTTCTTATAAATCACCCAGTTTAAGGTTTTGGCTACTAAACAGTAGAGAACTGACTAAAACAAAGGCAAAAGTGTGCACAGACAGAAACAATCATGTAGCAAGACTCCTGGCTTAAAATGTTTTAGCTCTGGGGCCAGGAAGTGGTGTGGTGGTTAAGGCATTGTACTCCCACATGGTCAACCATGGTTCAAATCCCGGACCTGGTAGTTTGAAAATCATACTGGGCATGTGTGTCTGCAAAATTCAGAGAGAATGGAAGAGAAGGGATTGTGGCATGGTCAGCCTCCCTGGGGATGATTTTTCACTTTGCCCATGGAAGAGTGCATGAACACATGCACCCTATGGCAAAAATTTAGAAGAAAAGAAAAAAAATGTTAGATTTCATAATTTTTGATAATCAAAAAAGCCCCTAAGATTCTGATCTAAATTTTCATATAAACTATCTTATCCAGGAAGCAGCAGGTGATGTGGTGGTTAAGGCACTGGATTCCACATGGCCAACTCTAGGGTTCGAGTCCCAGATCTGGTGGCTTGAAAACCATGCTAGCTGTGTCCAAAATCCCAAGAGGAGAATGGAGAAGGGATTGAGATATGGCTAGATCCCCTAGGAAGTGATTTCTCTCTCTCCAATAAGTGCACATGCACTACAGCAAAAATCAAAACACAAACAAAAAACCCAAGTCTTATTCGAAGACTCAAAACACTTACATCCAAGTAAAGTTTTAGTTCTTTTTTTTTTTGGATATAGGGTATGGATACTCATCAGAGAAAGAAAGTGAGAAAGTTCCCTCTGGGGTGGTAGTGGGCGGTAGCGGCCATGTTACAATCCCTTCTCCTCGCCTCTACTTTTAGAAGAGTAATTTTTTTTGGTATATTAATTGGCATATTTTTTAGGCTTCTAAGACTTGAATCATACAGTTGGCCATGTGGGATCCAGTCACCTTAACCACAATGCACCATCTAGTTTATTTTAGAGATTTTTTTCCCCCCTGAGGGTGCATATGCTCACTAGAGAGAGAGAGAGAGAGATAGAGAGAGAGAAATCATCCCCTAAGGGATGGCCACACTGTAATGCCTTCTCCTCCATTCACCTTTCTGGACTTGGGGCATGCACACACATGTACCCAGCATGATTTTCAAGCTGCTGGGTCTAGGACTCGAACCACGGTTGGCCATGTGGGAGTCCAGCACCTTAACCACTACGCTACCTGCTGGCCCAGTTTTAGAGATTCTTTACAGACATTCTGTGAGGCACTAAAATTATTATCATTGCTGTTATATTTTTGCCAGAGGGCATGTGCGCACACCAGAAAGAATAAAAGAGACAGAGGATGGGGAGAGGGAAAAAGCAGCCAGAAATGGGGTCATGCTGCAATCCCTTCTCCAGTTCTCCATCCTGGGATTTGGGGTATGCATACACATGTGCCTAGCCTGTTTTTTTTAAGCCACCAGGGCTGAGATTCAAACTCACAGTCAGCCATGTAGAATCAGCTCCTTTAACCACCAGGCCATGGCAAGAGCCTGCACTAACTTATTAAATAACAGTAATTGTAATATCAAGATCATAGTTAAAGATAATAGTTTGAGGCATCTAATTTGCTTTGAGAATACAATTTATATTACTTAATGGATGGTAACTGTTCTCAAAATGGGTTAGCGTTAAAATGTAAATGAAATGAATTTACAGGTATTTTTCCAAGACCTCTGAGGGAAGAAAAAAATTCAAACTTTATAATTATTGTTGAATTAGCAATACTTCACTTGAAAGCTGTGAAGGAAATCTACAAATACTACTAAAATTTACCAAATTCAAAACTAATAATGTTTCAAGATCAGTTTTATGATCCAGGTCTAAGAAGCTTCAAAATATCTGTAGCTTTATTTGATCTTAGGCTATGATAAAACACTGAAGAGTAATAGTTTATATTTTTAAGACAGATTTTACTTTGTCTTTTATGGGGTCATACAGTTCTTTTAGGCAGGAAAATGCAGTAAAGTTGAGAGATAGCTACTAATTTCCTTGGAATATACAAGAAGAAATCCATGTTCCTAAGTATTTTCATGTGGGCTAAGGTGAAATCTTCAGTTTGGTTTAATAACACAATAGTTAACAGAAGACTTAAATGTTTCTGAAGAATCTTCTTCAAACACAGTGAGGCAAGAAACCTCCATGGAGAATTTCAGTAACTTTATAGGCTTTGCTGTTTGGTCTTTCAATGTTTCTCTGTTGTACATCTTCTAGCTAGTAGGTAGAATTCCTTTACTGGTCATTACCTTCTAATCACACCCGTCATTCTGAAAGTACATGCCATGAACAGTTGATTTCTGGGGCCATTTTGGATTCTCACATGGGGCAATGACTTTTCTCCCTGGGAACACTTTGCCCATGGACGTGGTGTCACATCTGCACGTTCCCTAGACCTCTGTCTGACACTGACTGAGACTTCTCTGTGTCTCCCCACAGCGTGACGCTGGTACTAAACTCACTCTCTTGACTTGGGGGTTATTCACATCTACCTTCAGCTTTCTAAGAAATCATGAGGTACAGACTTGAAGCAAATATGAGATAAATAGTACTATTCACAACACAGTATGTGAAAACAGCAACTCTGCATTTCCAGTCCCCTTTCCTGTTCGGTCTCATTTCCTATTTTACATTAATATTTAACACAGCCACACTGTACAGTGAGGCTGAGAAAATGAAGAAAGGCAGTTAACTCCTAACGTGGGGCATCAGTGTGGAGGAAGCTGTCACCGCATCTTCACGTTAATGAAGGATATTGCCTTAACAGCGCCTGGCACAAGTCATCCGTTGTCATGAAGACAGTGTACGTGAGAAGGAAGTCATCAAGGAGGGTCTCTGCAAAGAAACGACACAAAGCCGAGGTAAGCAAACAGACGATAAGAAGGCAGCAGCTCGTCCAGGTGCCAGGACAGTGCGCGGTAAGATTAACAATGGTGGTAGTCTAGGGGTTAGGAGAATTTTAGCCACATGATACATTATTACAGATTTTAAAAACCCCTCACACATAGAATGTCTTGAGCAATGAAACATTTTTTGTTGCAAGGCTCTCTAACCATACAACTTCAATCATCATTTTCCCCCCAAAACATTCATTTATATTTGTGGGTTAAAGTGTTAGGGAAAATCAATGTATAAACAATGTGCTTTAAAAAATATAAATTTCTATCAGATTTTGAGGTATACGCTCCAGTCCTATGGGAATGAAACCTTCATGTTCCATTACATTAGGGATCTCCAAAGCCATTTACTTAAGTCTAGGGCAAGAACAATGGACAGCAAAACCAAAGCACACATTACGTTCTAAAGCCATTCACCGCTCTCTCTCAAATGCATCTCTAAGCAGCTGGGAAGATGATGAGTGATCTTCTTACTATCATGAGAAAGAGCTGAGAGGAGTTATATTGGAGTGTAGATGCAACACATCATGATGCGCTCTTCATGACTCCTTTTTCTCCCAACAGAAATAGCCTCTATCATGATCATCTTTTTGCTTTGAATGTTCTGGAAGAATCCAGTGTACATGTAATATGGAACTGCCACAGAGGCAAACTCTGATCTCCAGTTTCATTCCCCAAATGATAAACGATACAAAAGATTACATGCAGAATGCAAAGTAGTGATTCTGTCATAAGAGTTTTTAGGTAGTCTCTTTAACTTAAAATTCACCCTACTATATGATTGAACATTCATATTTTTACATTCCAGACATCCAAGTTTTAGTTATGGGAAATACTAATAAACTGTGTGAGTAATGAGTTTGTGTACTGTGATGGACTGAACACCTATACCCCTCCTGGCCCTTCATTTCATGTGTTGAAACCTTGCCCTCTAATGTGAGGGTATCAGAATTACAGAGGTCATGAGGGTGGAGCCCTCATGATGGAATTGTCACTATAAGAGTTCTGAGAGAACTTGCTTCCTCTTTTTGCTCCTGTAGGACACAGAAAGACTGTGGTCTATGAACCGGAAAGCAGCAGGTCTTCGTCAGACAGTGAATCTGCTGAAGCCTTGATCTTGGACTTTCTAGTCTCCAGATTTGTGAGAAATAAATGTCTGTTGTTGAAGCCACCTACTTTATGGTATCCTGTTATAGCAGCCTGAGCTAAGACAAATATTCAACAGATTTATGGGGCTAGCCAGTGTTGTAGTGATTAAGGAGGATGGATCCCATCTGACTGGCTGTGCGGTTTGAGCCCTGAACCAGGAGGCTTAAGACAGACCAAACACATGTGCATATGTGCCCAAAATCCCTAGAGAAATGGAGAAGGGACTGTGGCATGGCCATCCTCCATGAGGGATATTTTTCACATTCCTTTTTTTTTCTCTCCCTCTCTGGTAAGTGCATGTACACTCTGGCAAATTAATTGTATTTATGCTCCCTAAGATCTATACATTATAAATGTATAATTAGAAATAACTGCTTAGTATTGAGTTCTGAAAGCTAGGTAAAAAATTTTCCTTTTTTTTTTTTTTTTTTTTTGTGTGTGTGTGTGTGTTTTGCTATACAGCGTGTATGCTCACTGGGAGGAGGAGAGGAAGAGAAAACAGTTAAAAATAGAAAGGGGGGGATCAGCAGATGGCTTAGTGGTTACGTCACTGGACTCCCACGTAGTCGACCATAGTCCGAGTCCCAGATATGGCGACTTAAATCTCATGCTGGGCGCATGTGTGTGCATGCCTAAAATCCCGAGAGGAGAATGGAGGAGAAGTAACTGCAGCGTAGCCATCCCTCCTTGGGGGTGATTTCTCGCTTTCTGTCTCTCTGTCTCTGTCTCTCCTGGGAGCGTACATGCCTTGTAGCTCCTTAAAAAAAAAGAAAGGAAAAGAAAAAGAAAATAGAGAGGGAGAAAGGGAAAGCACCTCCAAGGGAGATGGCCATGCTGCAATGCCTTCTCCATTCTCTTCTTAGGATTTTGGGCATGCACACACACATGTCCAATGTGTTTTTTCAAGTTGCTGTTCCAAGACTTGAACCACGTAGTCATTCATATGGGATCCAGCTGCCTTAACCATAATGCCCAAGTTCCAAATTATTATTTTTTTTTGGAGAGGTTTTTGCTATAGGGTACGTGTGCTCACCAGAGAGACAGAAAGCAAGAAATCACCACCCCCCCCCCCCCAAGGGGGATGGCCATGCTGTAATCCCTTCTCCTCCATTCTCCTCTTGGGATCTTGGGCATGCACACACATACATACCCGGCGTGAGTTTAAGCCACTGGGTCTAGGACTTGAACCGTGGTCAACTACCTGGGGGTTCAGCAACATAGCCATCATGCTAACTGCTGGTCCCATGTTCCAAATTATTTTAGGAATAATCAGTAACATTTACTTTAAAAGTTGAAGGGGCCAGCAGGTGGCATAGTGGTTAAGGCACTGGATTCCTCCATGACCAATCACAGTTCAAGTCCTGGACCTGGCACCTCACACTGGGTGTGTGTCTCCAAAATCACAAAAGGTAAATGAAGAAGGGACTGTGACACAGTCATCCTCCCTGGGGGATGATTTCTCACTTTCTCTCTCTCTGTCTCTTGATGAGCTTGTGTACTGTGATGGACTGAACACCTATACCCCTTCTGGCCCTTCATTTCTTGTGCTGAAACCTTACCCTCTAATGTGAGGGTATCAGAATTACATAGGTCACAAAGGTGGAGCCCTCATGATGGCATTGTCACTATAAGAGTTCTGAGAGAACTTGCTTCCTCTTTTTGCTCCTGTAGGATACAGAGAAAAGACTGTGGTCTTGTATGTACAAGCACACATACTGTACAGCAAAAATCTCTCCAAAATAAAATGCTGATCAATATAATATGAACGATAAAGTTATATTTACAAACACAAAACACTGTGGACAGAAGAGGTTGCGTATGAGAGCTACAGTCTACATAAATTGCCCAGGTTACTTTATATCTATGCTTTGGTTGGTTGCAGAATATCAAGATAATCCTGACCCATATAGGTAAGTGTTAAAATAATTGGAAACGATGTTACAAAGAAAAAGAGCTTTTCTGTTTTAAAGACAAGGTCTCAGCATATCATGCATGCTGTTCTTAACTCAGCCTACCACTGGGCCTATAAGCACAGGCCACAGGCTCTTTATTAAAAAGGGTTTCACCAGTTGCCCAGGCCAGCCTTGAACCTCAGCCTCCTGAGTCACCAGGATTACAGGTCCATGTTGTCTTGGCGTGTCTTGAAGCTGGATTGGGAATTGCTCCTCGGCCTGCTCCATAGCCCAGCCTAAGAAGCACACAGTCTGAGTGGCATGCACAGCACAGCTAGCCAAATGCTTGCTTTTTTATTGCACGATGCCCTTAACCAGAATGAATCCAAAATGCTGATGAAGAATGTTAAGGAATTTTTCTCAGAAACATATGTATTTATTAAAGATAACAGTATTCCAGCTGTGAGCTTAAAGACCCCAGGCTGAATGGTTCCAGAAACCTGAAGAGAAATTTGATCAAGACCTTACCAATCAAGAATGTCCACAAGGTGACCATACCCTCTTGAACCAAGAATTGAATTGAACATGTGCTTGGAACCTCTGCCCCTAATTTAGCCCTTAAAAAGGCATATGGAGGAGGGGAAGGGAGACCAGCAGAGGGCATAATGGTTACATCACTGGACTCCCATGTAGTTGACTATGATTCAAGTCCTGGACTGGGGCCTGTGTGTGTGTGTGTGTCCGTAAGCCTGAGAGGAGACTAGAAGAGAAGGGATTGTGGCATGCCCACCCCTTCTGGGGGGTGACTTCTTACTTTCTGTTTCTCTCTGTCTCTTTGTTGAAGATACTACCTATGGAAAAATCTCTCTCTCTCAAAAAAAAAAAAAAAAAAAAAAAAAAAAAGCATGTGGGGAATACTTCAGGGAGACCAGGTCTTTTCAGTATGAGCTACTCACTCTTTTGCTTTGCTCACTGCAATAAAGCTGTAGTCTCCTCCATCATGAATAAAAATTTAAAAATTGATGAATAGCACCTAAAATGTAAAATAGGCCTAATCTTATAACATTGTAACACAATGCAATGCATAAAGAGTTACTGGTCTAACTTACTATTATTCTGTGGTAAAAGCAAGTTCCCAAATATGTGGGGACCATGGTGGGAACAGATTATGTCCAGCACAGGAAAGCTGTGGTAGTGTACCTGCTCAGACAGTTCATGTGAGCAACATGCACAACCTGCACACAGGGACAGCCAGGCCCCCACTACAGACCGTGTTTACAAAAGTTTAGGATGTATGCCTAAGGCAGGAATAGCTTTATTCAAAAATCCGTCCTCAAATTAGTTAACACGGCAGCACAAGTTAATCTCTGGTCAACCTAACAAAGATTTTGTAATATGTGGTATTTGCCTTTCTTTCTCACCCTCTTTTTTTAAAAAAAGAAAAAAAAGAAAAAGAAAATTATTTCCAGAAGGTGGGTACACGCATTAGAGAGAGACAGAGATGGAGAGGGAGAAAGCACATTCCAATGAGGAGTGGTCACACTGTGATCCCTTCTCCTCTATTTATTCATCCTGTCGGAATTTGGGGCACACATGCACACGTGACTGGCATGTTTTTCAAGCTGCTGAGGCCGGGATTCAAACCAGTGGGCCACATGGGATCTGGCTCCTTTAACTACCTGGCCCAGTGTGTGCTTTTCATTACAGTTTGTTAAACAATTGAAATTAAAGTCAGCTATCTGTACAATGTCTGAGACCACAGGGTATTTTGGAAATACAATTTAAAAGCTATCACCCTGGGATACTACTGAACAGTAATGTTCACAAATTGTAACATTTCTCTGAGCTAAATGTGATTGATGAAAATGCTCAACCTCCCTGATCTGATTAGAAATTA